CCGGGCGGGGCCACAAGAGCCACGTCCCGACAGCAGCTGGGGAAAGGAGGCGGTGGAGCCCAGCCAACGGCCGCTCCGCTTCCCTGGGTGCCCATGGGACGCAGGGCAGTGCTGGCCTTCCTCAGCCCCTGTTCCCCCCCCAGAAGGTCTCCCAGCCCAGGGTGCAGGCAGACCACTTGCCCGGACCAGACACACTCAAAATCCACATTCCCCACCGCAGGACTCCCGGGCTCCACCTCCGGCGAGGCAGCGGGACCCACCTTTCACGGAGAGCTGGAACTTCTCGCAGGGCAGCCCAGCCCTGGCCCTGCTGGAGCTCGCAGCGGCCATGGCATCACCCCTGGCTGGAAGCAGAGACGGAGGAGACACCTCAGCACCCCTCCCACCGTGCAGAGGAAGCCGGGGCTGCACTGAGGTCCCAGGTCAGCCCCCCGACCGCAGCCCGGCCGTTACTGCAAATGACCCACACGGCCAGGAGACTTGGCAACCGACAGGCACACGCCAGGTAAACACAGGTTCCCTCTCACTCCTGATAAACCAGCCCTGCACCGCAGGCAGCGGCAATGCTGCACCTGGGGAGAGAAACTCCCCTTCAGCGGCGCCGCCATGGCCCGAAGAGATTCAAGCCAAGCTGGGCAGCGCTCAGCCCTGCAGACACCCCATTTGGGTGGCTGCAGCTCACCCCGACCCAAAGCTCCCTGCCGATCACAGCCGGCACGAGGACAGAGCGGTCTCCAAAGCCTTCAGCAGATACGCTGTCTCACGCCCTGCTCTGTGCTGCCGAGCAGCAACACCGGCTCACGAGCAGCCTGCGTGGCCACCACACAAGGGGTCCCTTGGAAAGCAGGAGGCAGTGACACCGGCAGAATAGAGAAAGGTCCAGTCACGGTACAGGGAAGCAGCCGCATGCCTCAAGGACAGCCTGGGTCTCTTCCTGGCAGCAAAATCCCACAGAAAAATCGGTCCCGCTACTCTAACACACTGTCGAGGGAACGGGGACCGCAGCTGCTCTGAACACAGAGAAGGATCACACTGCAGAGAGCAGGCTACAAGCCCAGACCTCCACTTCCCCAAGCGCTCACCACTTCCTCGCTCTCCGGGACCACATCACCATCACCACAGGCACAGCGCTTCCCCCTGCCCCTTCTGCTGCAGCTTTCCCCCCCGGAGTCACCCACCAGGGACAGGGAGTGGGCAGGAAGGACGCGAGCTGTAACACCCGGGGACGCTGGCAGAACACGTGGCTGGGCACCTCTGCCCAAACGACTGACCACGAAGTAGAAGGATGAGGTCATGTATCACACAGAAGCACGAGGTGCTCGGTCTGGGGCCAGAGAGTCAGCTATTGACTCGCACCGTCCTCCTGAGCCTGCGGGCAGCAGTCCTCCTCTCCGCGCTTCCCAGGCAGAGGAGCTGGAGAGGATGCGCTGAGTGCGGGCGCCCGCAGTGGGTGTCAAGGTCACGGACCAGAGGGCCCCTGCCTGCGCAAGCCCCCAACACAGCGGGGCAGACAGAGGCATTTGCTGCCCACGCCCAGGCAGGAGCAAAGAGGAGCCTCAATCCTGTCTCCCAGGGCAGCAGCGAAGGCTCAGATGGGCTCAAACCTGATCCCCCTCCCAAGCCACCGAAGCCAAGAGCACCCCTCCTGCCCGGCCCTGGACCAGAGCGGCTGCCAACCTCTCCCTCCCCTGATCAGCGGGAGGGAAGCATGAAAAGGGGAGAAGAGCACCTCGAGCAGCTCCAGCCTCTGCCACCTCCCCTCTCATGCAGGAGTCTCTCTCTCTTCCTTGCCCTCTCCTCACGCCCTCATTAGGTCTCACCAAGCTCCATCTCAGAGCCAGGTCCCTTTTTAAATCCCCTCTCATGGACCAGGGTCTCCGCGCTCCATCCCCTTCTCCGTGCCAGCCCCATGCGACCTCACCCCCCCAGGCACAGCAAACCCTCCCGGGACTCCGTGCTCAGCCGAGACCTGGCCGGTGCCTTGTACAATCCCCACCTCTGCCTGGAAAACCTCGCTTGGTACCAGACCTGCTGCTGTCTCGGCTCTGTCAGATGGTGGCTGGAGGCTCGCTAACACATGCCGATCTCCTCCCCCTCACGAGTGGGGGAGAGCTGACTTACAGAGGGAGGTCTTTCACGAGACTAATTGCACTTGCTATTACCACGGTTACTCCTACTCCAATTAGCCCGTCCCACAGATCACCCCGGCCTTCCCTTAGGACATTGTTATTCCTCGTGTTTGTTATGACTCCCCAGCTCCGCATCACCACTTATTTCATTAGCGCCACTAAGCAGGCCCACAGAAAACAGCCCGGCACACGTGCCCCTCCTAAGCAGGGCCTCCCGCGCCAGCCTGTGACCGGCCCCTGGGCTGGACCGACCGGCCGGCTCGTCCTGCAGGGCCTCTCACCCTAACGTTAGTGACCCGCGCCCCCGGAGTTATTGTGGTAAGACCCAAGGCTGACCCCCCTGCAGCGGGGGCTCTGGATCCCGCGTCCTCCCTCGCAGTCACGGGTGCCGCTTTCGCTCTTCTCCAGCTGTCCCCCACGGCGATGCCAGCCTTGCCGGCCCTGCCGCCCGCTGCCAGCCCCGCCAGAGAAGGCGATCCAGGGCTCCTTAATCACCGAGCGTTACCTGTTACGGAGGCACTTCCACTTCCCAGCCCTCGCTCCGCACACACGTCCCCTCACGGCCCTGCCGCTCTCCCCCATTCCCGCCGCGCCCCAGTGCCGGGCTGCCGACCAGAGCCTGCCCTGCGCTCGCAGACTCGCCTGAGCGTCCCACGACAGGAGAGGCCCCCGGGCCAGACCGGCCGCCGGTTTCCTCACTGCACCCTCCCGCGTAAGATGACAACAGAGACCCTTCCCGTTTGGGCTGCGCTCATCCTTTTTTCTTTTAAACCTTGACTCTTTTCCCCCCACTTCCTCTCCTCCTGGTTCTACATCAGTTCACTATCGCTCGCTGTAATTTCCCTGGCCACGTTAAACACCCCTCAGCTCACAGAGCCCCTCCGCGTCCGGCGCCATCCCCCAGGCACAGCTCTCCTCCCCCATCGGCCTTTTTCCACCCCCTCCGCAGACTCGGCCTGTAACCGGCGCGGGCCCGGGGCGCTCCCTCGCCGACAGCC